ATTTACATTTTCAGACTTTAAAACATATTCAAAGCAGCAATAGACACTAGTTTATCCTCTAAACGCCCAAATAATTCCCGGCCATGGGCCCAGGTAGGTACCTGCATTGTATATAGAATTTCTACAAAGAAAACCTGCCCATTAAGTTAGCCAGTGGGTGTTCAACAAGCAGCCCTTGCCGTTAAGAACTGCACCCACAGTGTTGCTATAGGAATCAAAGCATAGTACCTTGACAAGAGAGTCTCAGTTGTCCCAACAGCTCTACACAAACTTTACAATTTGAAACAGCAGCTAGCATGTCAGTCCAGCATGTCAGTGAATTGTGCTGATTAAATTAACATAGAGTACAATCTCACAATATACATCACAAACAAATTACAATGTCAGGAAATAAGAGTTACAGTAAGATAAGTTATGTAGTAACAGCTTATAAGCTTGTCTTAATGTAATAAAAAAATTTTTACATGGGAAATACATAATGAATGAACATAAATGCTAAGCATTCTAGTTTGCTACAAGCTGAAGAAGAGTACAAGAAAAAAAAACATTGCTTTCTGGAAAGCAAAACACAAATGACAAAGGAAGACAAACGGAGAATGCACACTAGCAGGTCTGCAATGTGCAGCATACAAACAGTTAAATATTTGCACATTCCCCATACTCCAAGAGCACCAAGGACCTCACTTGTGGTTTTTAGAAAGCGGAAATTACAAAGCAAGCCATGTCACTAAGTTGCTTTATAGCTTTCATATTGCCATAAATACCAATTTGATAAGTTTTCCTTTAGCCCAGTTCACCCCATCCCACCTCCTTTTTACCCAGCGTGTGAAATCTCAGAATACTTCTTTGTCACCATTTCCAACAAGTCTGGTAGTAAAAAAAGGGCGTTGGATTAAAATGAAATGTTTTTGCATATACATTGTTTTTTTCTTCTGTTGCAGGACATTGCAGTATATAAAAAATGTAGCTTGATCTGAGAAAAATCACAGATTTTAATGGGTTGTACCAAAAAAAAAAAAAAAAGGGTTAGGAGAAGTTTTTTAAAAGGAAAAAAGAGTTAAGTGTTTTGTAAAAGATCAAATGAGGTCATATAGTATTATTCTTTTAAAAGAACATGCTTAAGTGCCAACTTGAATCTTAAAAAAGCATGCAAAACACCACGGGTCCAAGCCCATTCCTTAACTTCTCACAAAATCTTGAAGAACTCTATCATACATCCTGCTGGCTGCATCTTCAGTGCAGTTGTTTGTACTGTGGCCCTGGCTCAGCAAAGTTCCCCCCCTCCTAACACCGATGCTTTAACTGGTCCTCACGACCACCACAGAAGGCTTAATACGCTTAATATTAAGCAGGTAGATAAGTGTTTTGCTGGGGGAGGATGGGGTCTTAATCTTGTAGCATGTTTTGCTAGGAAATTCTTTTGAAATGCCATGCCTTTGATATGACCGAAAAAGAAAACCAAAAAGCCAACCTGGAGAGGTTTAGATGGCATTGAGAGGTGGTTGCTTTGCATTTATTTCAAAGCAGGAACTGCCCACAGCTGACTGCTGCACACTCTGCACAGGGTACCTTATTTATTGGGGCTAATGTTGCTTTTTGGTTTGCATTCCCATCCCGGAGCAATCCCATCTTTTGCCCTCCCCCTGCCTCACACTACACCTGAGTACAATGGTTTAGGAGCACATTGTGACTCTGTGAATTCTCAGCATGTGGTTTCACAAACTTGATGGTGATGCCCAAACATACAGGCAGACCAGAACTGGGCCACTTGGTCAGTTATTTCTCCATGTAAACCTCAGCTCTGGAAAGCAGTTCTATATCCATTATGACCTTTATCTTCCACTTTTATAAGACATGAAGTGAACTATTCTGGTTGGTATCAGACTGGTTTGGGAGTGTTCTTCTCTTGAAAATAAGTATTTTATAATTTTCCAAAAGAAAATATATTGTATCTGTTAATTAAATAAACTACCTGTTCACAGAGAAAATAATATTACTATATTATTTGTGCTCCTGAATGGAGTTATTTGTTTCAGTCAGTTATTAAGGAGCCTCAAACACAAATGCTTAAAAAGCAATTCCATGAGTCCTCTTTGTGTATTGTGTGAACAATTTCCATTGGTATTATAGCCTAATATGACAATAACATGATTAAATTAATATAAAACATAAAGATTGTATACTATTGAGTCCTGCCTGCATTGCAAGGGCCATTTCAGACATTATAATCTTTCCACGGATATGCTTTTGACTTCCAAATGCCATTCTTGTTAAAAAATAAAATGTCGCCAGTTTTACTTGGATAGAGAAGACGGTGTTACCTACAAAATGTATCAGAAATTTGGCATGTTTAATGTGTCAACTTTCTAAAGAAGAAGAAGAAAGTATTCCCTCCTTGTGGAATATGCTATTAAAAATCAGAGAGAGCACAAGTGAGGCATCTTGCTGTCCCAGCTACAGGTCCACAATACTGCGCTCACACTGCGGGTGTAAATTCAGCATCTACATGAGGTACAGTGACTTGTCAGCATTTAATATGGACCAACATACACTGATATAGAACAAAAGTAAATACATAACTTATACTTCACTAAGTATCCATGAACAAAAAATAAAATTCTATTTCCTATGTTATATTTACACAATTTAAAAAAAAAATCTAAAATGAGATGGTAAATTCATCAAAAACTTTGTTTTGAGCTCCAATTAATAAAGTAAAAATGTTGGGTCTTATCCTTATGATTGTCCTTCCTTGATTTCTACTGACATTTTAGAGCCAATGTCGGCTAATAAATAGAATAACATGCTCATAGGCACAATTCAGATTCAAATCTGTTCCTCCCACTCCCCCAGCCAGTAAATGCAGTTTTTACCAGCTGGCAATTCCTGAACAGCCAGTCATTTTCAAGAATGTGGCTTTAACATACAGAGCATCAGCAATGAGGCAGGGCTGGAGCTAAAACAAAGTGTTCATACATACATGTATTTTGCATAAATAAATGAAATAACAAGACATAAAAATGACTCAAATCCGGCAACTGTGAGGCAGGCCCACACGAGTCGAAACAGATGACTTTTGTTCATGTAGTTTTCGTACAACAGTTTCACATTAGTCAGAAGTGATAAAAAATACCATTTATATCCAGTGCTTATAACACTTACGAAACAACATCTGTGAGTGTGTGTTTTTTTTGTACTACAAGCAAAATCAAGTTTCAGTCCTAAAGAACAGTCCTTTGTTCTCCACAAGCCTGCAGAATATTATTTTGGCATGGTCATAAAATGAGAAAAAAAAAAAAAATTAACCAACTAATCTAAATGTTTGCCTTTGTGCAAAAAAATAATTACATAAAATACAATGCTAGCAATACAGCATTCTACCTATGCAACAAAACCAGAAAAAAAAGAGAGCAAGAGAGAAAGAAAACGACATGGGGGGAGGGAGAGATAATTCTAACTGGAGAATTATGTAAGACATTAATAAATAGTCTTTTATTATTTTTTTTTTTTTTAGGAAATAATGATGTCCTCCCCCCAATCTGAGCTGAATGTATTAAAACCAGTTCAAATTCCCAAGCAATTATAAGAACAAAAAATCACTTTCTATCAGTACCTTAGCCAGCTTAAAGAGGACGCTCACCAGCTAATGACACAGCATATGCCTTTAAAGTCATGGCTAGACCAGCTTATTGCTTATTAGACATGGACTCAGAACACATTTAAATAAATATTAAAAATATAGGATTTTTGTTCCAAATTACAAAATGGTCAGAGAAATTTGACCATTGTGTTTCTACGCCACTATCTTTATAAATTGTCCTGTAAATTGAACAATCTTCTTTATCTTGGGGGTAATTCTCTCACATTGAAACATGATTCCTACAGTGGCTGTTTCTGATCAAACAGGTAATAGTGGGGCTATGAGGAAAGTGACTGCTCTTCCACAGAGCATCGTGTCGTTGCAGCTCAGAATTTCTGCAAGGCGGGATGCCAGCACAAGGATGGTCAGCACTAACACCAGACTTCTTTTGGTGTCTGGGCCCTAAACAAAGCCTGTGGAGCTCTGTGGGAAGATGCCCACACACTTCAAGAGGAGTTGCTCTAGGCCCACTCCGACCTCTCAGCCTGAGTCTGGATTTATCACCAATGTGCTGAACACATCCAATTCAAACTAAAAGCTGCAGGAGTTGAGCACATTTATTCATCAGGCCTTTTGGATCTGCATATATATACAGTGATATATTTGTGAACAGGAGTAGAGTATAAGGGAAAAGAATAAAGGCAATTTCTCCTCTGTCTTTGAAATTTAATAAATTTACAATCTTTTAATATCTTTCTCTTATATATACCCCAGAATTTTCTCCAGTAATTGCATTGTTTCTAGAAGTAATACAAATAGAAATTTTAGTTTCCGTAGCACCTAACGTCCAAAGATCCCAAAGCACTTGACAAACACTTGAAAAGTCACATTCCCACATGATTAATATTCAATAAATACTTTTGACGAATCATTTTCCCAGCTTTGCAATTAGATATTTGGGTGGCCTTCCTTCCCCCATTAAGAGTCTCACATATAAATCACTGCATAAATACTTAAGGTATCACACAGTTCCTTCAGGTGGCAAAAGGAACACGATGTATGGAGCCATGATTCACTGCAGGATTCCTCAGGCCCTAAAAATTCATCACAATGGACTCCAAATGCCATTTGGATTTAACATCTGCCCTTGATGTCTAAGTATAGAGGTTTATAACTATAAACACTTTTTTTAGGAATATTTGTACTCTGTGTGCATATAACAGTACTCACTTTACTTTGCATTATATATAGCAGTGTTTCTAAGTGCTACTTGAACATACAGTGTTAGAGGAACAACTGAATTTCTCATTTGTAAAAGTTATGTTCATTTTAGTAGCAGGTGCACTTTTATTTTCATATACCTGTGTGATTTAGGGGAGGAGAAAGAAGGGGTTAAAGATATCAACAAGGAATTGTAAGTGTAATGCCACCAACTGTACTTTTAAAAATAAATATTAAGTATTTGGACCCTTGACATTCTGGAATGAATAAATTATTTAAGAGAAAATATGTTAAGACTGAATGCAAGGGTTAAAAGGGTTAAAATGCAAGGGATAGAGAATGTAATCAGAGGTGGCCTCACACTGTTAAGACAGGCCCGTCCATAGCTGGTGATCGCTCTTTTGTGCTTACTTAAAATTTCACACTAATGGCACATCAAGAGGCAAAAGCAATTGGGCACATGCACTATGGCAACCATGTTCACTACTTAAGAGTATCCTGTCTCCAGATTCCTGAGTACTTCACCATATTCTGGAAAAAAATTAGGGTTTATATATAATTTTTTTTAAGATGCCAAAGGATTGTCTAAGACTTTACAGTGTCTCCTTTAAGACTTTTTTTTTTTTAATGTTAAGATTCAAAAGTTATGAAAAGTTTGGCACATCAGAAGTTCAGCTATACATATGGAAAAAAGAACGGAATTCAGAGACTATTTTTTAAAGACAAGCTATGAATGCACAGATGTGCACACTTGTGGACTTGTTCTGTTTCACAATATGAAATCTGCAGTTTTTGTTTTTTTTAAAATAATCCAGAATAAAAACACATTCACAACCTGTAGGCTGGCACAGCATACCTGAGTGAGAATGTAAAACCCCCATCTAAAACAGTAACTTAAACCTTTATCAGCATCCAAACAGAAAAAGACAAAAGGTAAGACTTGTAAGACAGCTATTGATTCATATAAGTTTTCAAGTCCTGATGTCTGATATTTATGTCTTCATCTAAATTAAAAAAAGAAAAAAAACAAACAAACAAAAGGAAAACAAAACAAAAAAAAACCCAAGTTCATGAAAAATTAGGGAAACAATCTGTCTCACACGATAAGAAACATTTAAGACCATTCTGCTGATGTAACTGTAGGAGCCACACATGCATGCAGGCTCTTTAAGAACTTTTGTTCAAAAAAACCCCAAAAAAACCCAAATGAGTCTGAGTACTTTAATTCTGTGAACACTCCTCAGTTGGCACTGACTGCCTCATGGGCTTCGTTTTCGCTACTATAGTCTGATTTGGGATCATCCTCATAGTCCTCATACATTTCTATTTCATCCTCTCCATTTATCATTTCATTTCCAGCGAGGCTTCCGCTGTCTGTCTTCATACCATAAGTGCTCTGGATGACGGGGATGCTGGGCTCAGGGCTGGCAGAGGTGCTCGAGCAATCCGATGTCATCTGAGGTGATGGCGTGGTAGTCGCCATGGTAATAGCACCAGGGTAGACAACTCCCGTTCCCGTGGTGATTGGAATTTGAGGCTGTTGTCTGGAAGGAAAAACAAGAGGGAATCATGATTTCCTGTGTTTAGAGGAGGGAAGACCTTCTGCAAGTCCAAATGAAAGAAAAGCAGATGATTTCCTAGAAAGACTGTGCATACTCCTCCAGGGCTCACAGATCGGTGCTATGTGGTATTGGTTCATCTCCTCTCTCCCTAAGGACAACCGGAGAGTAAACTGTTTAGTAACTCCCAGACATTGATTCTTTCATGTATCTTATGTGCTCATTTCAACCATAATGTGAATTAGCGTTTGGGTTTTTGAAGCAAAGTACTCATCAAAAAGAGCAGATGTTCTTTTTTCCATGGTACAGACAATCTACTGAAATTCAGAAATTCATTGGGTCCTGAAGACCCAATGTCAGATCTGATTTATTGTGACAGCGCAAATTTTTGGGAAGACTCGATTAAGGGTGCAATAGTTCTACTTTTAACACATCTTATCTTAGAATATCTAACTTTGTAAGGTGTAATGCTGTCTTTTTTCATATGTGTGATTTTAAGGATAGTGGAACACATGTGAACTAAATTCGACTTATATCACTGCCAACCAAGAAATTCAGCACAAGCTTTACTGTAAGCATGCTCACAGCTGTACTAAGTGATGTGATGTCTCTTCTTACAATAATATTCAAGTGCTTTTCTGAGAAAAGGTCAGTTTGGTGAACCTGTTCTATGTTCAAGCCCTTATTGGCTACACATCACCTAAATCTACTTCTTACATTTAGGCTAATTAATTAATAAAGTACTTTCTATATTAAACTAATCACACAAATATTCTCATATTGTTTCTGGATCATTACCTTTAGTAAAGCTAAGAGAAAAAGAAGGGATATAAGTTGTCTGAAGCCTATTTGGATAATCTGTTTAAAGAGTCATATATTTCAATGTGTTCCCAAACTTCTTTAGAGCAATATTGACCCAGCGAACTATTATAGATTTCAGCAGGAGAAACAGTATCAGATATGATTGACTAGTCTAATGAATCTGCAACTTCTTGATCACAGTGTCAATTCTATACTAAATTCAAAAGGACGTTTCATAAACCAATCTCTCAAATTCTTAATAATTGGTTAAATCAATACATAAAATAATGTTAAGCTTCTTTATAAGACCCTAAATGTTGAATATCTGTTGCTCATTGATCAAACTCTAATTTTGATAAGTATCACAGTACAGAGTTACCAGGCAACCAAACTCCTTCAAGTTTGGGAACTGAGACAGTCAAATCATGAACACTCTGTGTAAGATAACACTAAAACAGCTTACAGTGCTATCCTTGCTGGTACTGCTAGCCTGACTCTTAAAGTCTCTGCACAGCTTGAGAAATTCAAACATCTGTTGTGCAAGTATGGTACACCTGGCTAGCAGCAAGCAAAAACATTGCAGTAATTCATTTGACACAGTCATTATACTCCTGTTTGCAAATGATGATTTGCAGATGATTTACAAACAGCTTGGGATTTTTCAGTAAATTTTCACTTTTTAAATGGTCTGATAAATGTTCTGTGAAAACAATTTTCAGCCAATGTATTTGCTTGCAAGTGATTTTCTGCAAATATCTTTCAATACTTTATCCATAAAATTGAACACCTACCTCACATGGGAACATTTCTGGTTTAGGATTGCATGTTGTCAAGAGTATAAACTATTACTGCTAAAAACCCACACATATCTCCTCCACAACTTTTAGATACAGAAAATGTTCACGTTAATTAATGTTTCCTCAAAGCAAAGGAAAAAGAAATCCATATATGGTCAACAGAAAATTTCTACATAGTTATGACCAGGCCATATATTCTAATCTGCCCATCTAACAACTGCTGGTACTAATCTTTTTCTGGTACTTCTTAGAATAAATAAATTCACAAAACAAAGCATCACCAGTTGTTCACCAAAGAACACCAAAATATTAATGCCAAAAGATGTTTTGAGAAAAGTTTTCACAACTGCTGTAACAGAAGTTGTAGAATATACTCAAAGAATGATTGAGTGCAAGCCTTTCTTGTGCTACAAATGGCATTATCAGAACACTAATAACCACCTCTACCCCTCCAACTCAAAAAAGTTTGAATTTTTTTCAGAGGTAAATTGCCTTTTCACAAGCAGCAAGAACAATGAAAGTATCTGTTTAAGACAGTGCTGTGAGTTATCTTGATAAAAAAGTGATTGTCAGTATTAAGGCCTAAAGGACAGATTAAAAATTCTGGCATTCTTTCAAATACTTATCAAAACAGCAAAACTCTTTTCCATATCCACATTTCAGTGGGACTGGGTACACTTGTCCAAGTACCACCTATTTCAGAGTATAAAGGGAGCAGGGCATCTCAGCATAAAGAAGCCAGTTTTACAGAGATATATTTTACTTGAGAACACATGAAATGCAAGACAAACTATAGAAAGAATCTCATAGTCAAAGAACTTGATTGGTGTAACAGGGAAGTTAAAGGCTTACTGAGTTTGTCATTTATAAATGCAGTCCTTATTTTACACGTTAAACAAAAATCGGACGTGCTGTGCATGCTTGCTGCTGGCTGGGTAATAACTTTAAATTACCTATATCTCACTGTGGAACTGTAAACATGTGGTAACTGTACCACCTAATTGGAAAGGGTCTCAGATTGCTACCTGTTTGCTAGCAAAAATTTGCTAGCACTTACACATGGGCACCCCCAGTAACTGGACACCTACCTCTTACTTAATACCTGTTATTATTTAGAGCTGATCAGGCTGTCACTGTAAATTCTGCTCTAGTTGCTACATTTCATTCCAGAAAGCCTTATTTTAAGATACCACAAACTCCATTGATGGCACAGTTTACAGGAGATGAGTGTTATCACTTCTTAAGCAATTATATTCTAGGGGAGGGGAAGTCAAAGAATTTATTCAAATTACCACTACTCTCCCTGAAAAGAAGAGGTGGAGTTTCTAACCTATGACTCGGACCATAAAGTCATTTTTCTTAATGGTATAACATTAAATTCTGCACAGTTAATCATTGTCTAGCCATAGTTTTTCCTATCATAGAACCTTGGAGTGGAGAGATAAAAATATACTTTACTGCAGGCTACAGGTTACAATTCAGCTCAGTTGCACATGGTTAAAGCAAGGATGTTTTCTGTCTGGTTAAGATTTCCAGAATCCAACATTAATCTTCTGATCTCTTCAGATCTGTGAGGAATGGTGACACATGGCTACGTACCCCGGCTTCAAACCACCACTGTCTCCACCATCTCCTCTTTGACAAAGAAATCCTTATGTGGCCAATTACTAGATGTCACTCGCCTCTGCTCTGCAAGAATTGTTACTCTGTCTGCCTACTCTGGGGTCAAAGATTTGGCCCAAAATAGTTAGGTAGACATAAAAAAGGAGGTAGCATGAACATTCATAGATGAATTGACCTGCTCACAATTTTGTGGCGTTAATATTCTTAGGATTTTCCCAGAGAATGTTCCCACTTTTGACTTTTGCAAAACTATCTAAACATTTAAATTGGCAAATTACCATTGTTTTCTGATCCCTTCCCAACCATTTTTTGACAGCTCTTTAAATGACTGAAGAAAAATTTGATTGCATTAAGGAAAATGCTTATAAGCTACACACCCCTGAAACTTGCATTCCCATACGGCATGAAATAACAGTAAATCTCACAAAAGCACCCATTGTGTACTTGCTTTAAGTTCAAGCTACAGGAGTATAATATTACAGCTTTATTCAAAACCGTAGTCTAGCAACATTCAGACTATGTGTGTACAGTAGTTATAAACGCTATAAAGGCTTTATTCTAAACATCTTACACTGGTAAAACACCAAAAAAAAAAAAAAGTTACTGCTTACATCATTTTTAGAGAAATGTATATAGCTTATACTTGGATTTAGAGTGTATTAGACTGTAAAAATGACCGTGAGATGAATAATTTTTGTAAGACAAAGCACCAAAAGACAGATTCTTAACTTAAAATGTCTGAATTTATGGTTTATATATGATCCATTTGTTGGTTCACATTTATTTATGCATTACAAAAAACTACTATTGAAGATAAATTGTAAATCACTTGAAGTCTGTTCCGGGATTAACTTATGCTGAAGTTATCATTCACAACTTCCATTAATAATTTCACTATTAAAAATAACTCAATTATTTTAAAGACATATTTGGCTTCAGATTCAGCTTCCACTAGATTGAAACCAGCAATTTTTTAATATACTCTGCATTAAGCATGAATTATTTCCATATATTATCTGCCTCATTTGGAACAAAATTCATTCATGTAGAGTTGCAATAGAAGGCCTCTGCACATTTTAAGTTCCACTTTGTTCTTTAAAATACTTGGCAGTTCCTAGATTTTTGTGCTAGTTTATCAAATATGTGACATTTATCTCAAAACATTAATTTCCTGCCCAATCTATTCCAAGAAATCTTCACTCTCATTCAATTCTTTGGAAGCTTTTCTTCAAAAATCAGAACAGAACTTGACCATTCATTAGCTTATTTCTCTATTTTATTTTAAAGCCTGGCTAGTTTCTGCATCTTGCCAATGTTTATGAAAGAGTGCAGCTCACCAAAGTAAGCAGTATGAGCTTTTTGCATCATTAAAGTTCAAGCAGTGTGAAACTCCATGTTTGTGGTGGGCGTTGTTTTAGTTGCACTCACAGCAGAATTATTCTGTTAGCCAGGGGGTCACCTAAAGGAATCTGATAGGAGCTACCCTTGACTGGATTGCCTAAGACATAAACATGCATTTGGTATAAGAAAAATCCAAATGCAAATATGGAAAAAAAATATAATTTTTCTTGCTTTTTACACTTTCCTCTAGCCACCTGTTTTGAATGTTTATCTTACTCTTCACACATCTATTTATCTTTTTATTCTGTGACAATATTTTGTTGCCATTCTGACATACCCAGTCCCAACTTAATTGGTTTGTTCTTTAAAAAAAAAAAAAAAAAAAAAAGAAAAAGAAAAACCAGCAGTACTTCAAGAAGCATGAAGCACTTGGCACATTTCATTGGAGTCTACTTTATACTTTTGTTCTCTATCTTGCACTGAAATATTTACTGTAAACACAGAGTACATTCAATCCAAAAAACCACATTTGTCTCCTATTTCATTTTGAGAAGGAAACTCCATCTCAACTCTCATGTCTACAGTTCCGAAGGATGATTTATGCTCTTCCATCAAAACAGTGGAAAAATGATGGGTGTGTGAGGTCAGCTAGGAAAACTGTTCCAGCTGATGTTTTATGTGATATTTATGTTAAAAACAGGGAAGAGTAAGTTTAAGAAGTTAATGGGCTCAGTTACCATGTTTCACTTAGTTATAATCTGATTTGGATGAAACGTTGCTTTTTATTACTCAGTAAACTATTCTTCTGAGACAAATGATTCTGCGTTTTATGTTTCAGTTCAAAAAAGCTGTTAGTCTGGTTCTTCCACTAATTTTGCTTGGTGTCTTCCAAAAAATTTGTTTTATATTTTTCTTTAGGGAAAAGGGGAACTTGGGACAACAGTGGGAAGTCACGGGAACACATAACATAATTTTCTAAAATCACAGCCTGTGATTCCTCAGTACCAAACTCTATATTCACATTGAATGGCAAGGTAGATCTCATTTCACCTTTATTGAATGCATTCATTAGATTTCATACTCCTTTTTTCATCACTTGCATAACTAAAAGTCATTGTTTTCAGTGCCCAGTGTTTAAGTGCCCAGAGGTTATTTGCTCTTACTTTAAACTTCTTCAACATGAATGAATCATGGTGAATGGAAAGTACACACAGAAATTACAACAAACACTTTCAAGAAAATGATGACCATCTTCATGTTCTTGTGATCATACTGTTTCATCTGCGAGGAAGATGTCACATTAAGGTTACACCAGTAGTTTGAATAGTTTTCTCTTTTTTTATACGTATATATAAATAGTAGAAATATCACTCTTTAAGCAGGCACTTTTGGAAGTTTCTTAAATCCATCCTCTATATTCACCTCTTTATTTAGACACCACTAATAATGTGTAAAATGCTACTGCTTAATACTGTTTTGAATTAGCAAATAATTCTCAAATCGTTCAGACTGCTGTTTTGGCATTTCTTTTCCATTTCTTGTCTACACGTGATTTGGTCTGTCAATCTGCTTTGGAAGACACAAGCTAAAATTTCATTCCCTCAATCTGAATATAATTTGTGATATGGTGTATAAATTCAGATTTCTATTTAGAGTTCTATGTGCAATTTTGATGGAAGCCTATTAGTAAACAATTTCCCTTAGACTGAAGAATAAAAAACAATGTCATAACTATAGACTGAAAGGCTATTTCAAGATACCAAAACCACTTCTATTTACTGATTGAAGAAAGAGCCCACATTGTTGCAGGCTGTACCACAAAATAATTGACTGCAACAGGAGTTCTGCATCCCAAGCCAAAAATGAGGGCACATAATCGACGTCAAGGTCAATTATCTGGTAGTGAAGTACCCAACAAAAGGACACTATTGTGATTAGAGAAATAAGCAGAACATTGTGAATTTGGAAAGGCTGGCACTGGAGATAGCTTTTAGACTCATTGTAAATCACCAGAAACATTGTGTTAGAGCACTAAGCATCACAGATTAATTAATAAAAAAATGGGAGAGAGAAATCAGTTACGGTGCAGTTGTTTCACTGGACTTCTGTTATCTATAGCCCGTAGATCTTTCATACAGCTTCTTTCTTTGCTGAACACTACAGGAAACACCCCTAAAAACACACGCAAGGTTTTTAAAACTGTGCCAGGATTTGTTTGAGACATATATTCTGTGTTGAAAATCTACCCAGTCTATCTATGCACTAATTGAAAGAGTCTTCCTAAAACTGATTTTTTTAAATATTTTTTTCACAGTTCTAGATATAGCAAGTTTCCTAATAGTTTCATGCTATGATATCATATATCCATGTGTATTCCTAATGCAACTATTACTCCTCTCCCTTTTCCCCCTTCCCTGACTCCTTATTCTACACAGGAATAATCTTTTGTGTTTTTCTCTTTGTTCTTTTCTTAATTTAGGAAATGATCCTGGAGTCATTACTAACCCAGAATGGATTAGCTTACTAATAACTCACAAAAGACATGATTCAAACCTTTCAGGCTAATGGGAAACAACTTCTTTTGACTTTAAAGAATTCCACAATCAGTCTCACAATCAGCAGTCCGTGGCAAGCTGATAGCTCCATATTCCATCTTATGTTTTTAATAAGGTTTTACTGGTTCAAATCCTTACCTTCTAAACAACATTAGTCAGTGACTTAAACAGATAAGTCTATTCAGTTTCAAGCAGCACGCTCTGTCTTTGAAAACAATTACAACAATTGTACTCACCCTACGGTAAAAAACTGCCTCATCTCCTGTCTTCGAGACCTCATCAGTTGTTTGTATTCACCAATACGCAATTTCTTTCCATCAACAATGCAGGTACGTTTTGGTCGAGGTTTGTACTTGTAATTAGGATACTTTTCTAGGTGGATTTTACTTAGTCGTGCCTGCTCTTCATAATAAGGTTGTTTTTCTTGATTTGACATGGACTTCCAGCGAGATCCTATTAACACAAAATGCTTGTGAGTGCTCAAGTAACGCAGATTTAGCTTTACACACACACATTTCAACATGTCTTTTCATCATAATACATTTTAATTAAGTTAATTGAATAAACTGATTTAGATTTACATCAGTCTGCACACATTTTGGCTTTCACAACCTGAGACATCTAAAAAGAACCTTGACTCTCAGATATCACTGCAGACCAAACATATGTAAATCTCCATTAAATAAGTTCACTTAAAATCAATAGTTAAGTCTCAAAATCTCAGCCTTGTTCTGCAAAATAGACTATTTAATTTTTTACAATATAAGCATTAATCTGTGAATAATTCCATGCCTCTGTAATGCCATGCACAGTATGATGGTTAAGGAAGGTCTACAGCCATACTTTTACTGTTAAAAGTCTAACACATTGCCTAGGGACACATGCTTCTTTGATATTTTTATGAGAATTTGGTTTATACACTCCTGCTAAGAGATATTAGTAGCTTGCCATGTAGCTGGAAAAAGGTATCAAACCTTATAGATTCAGCAAAACTATGAACAATCCCTTGCTGTCTGGGTGTCTTAAATTTACTAATCTTCTGATATAGGCCTGGCATAATATTGACACCTTACCATATTTTAAATCCTATTATGCATATTACCTTCCAGCTAGATGTAATAAATACACAGAACTGAATTGAGAAGGTTACATTTCAAAAACTTACATTAAAAAGATAAAAAGTAAAACAGAAAGCACATTGTAATTATATACACCACTTCAGGTACTGTAAACTCTCATTGAAAGCTGCACCAATAAAAAAGTTAAAAAATTAACACAGTGTACACAGGAAGAGGAAAAAGTATTCAGATCTCTTGTATTGTTTATAAGGAGCTATCTAAACACTTGAATGGGGACGGGATATTTTTTTACAGGGAAGAAGAAATGCAGAAAATAGCTTTTTGGTGTCTTTTAGATGAATAAAACGATTACAGCTGTGGTAAACGTGGGTGGAAGCTATTCTTTTACCAACATTTTTCATACATCAACAAATGGAAAAGTTGTATAAATATTATCCGTAGCCAGCAATACCCTGTGTCAGTTCTAATATTTCAGTTTCTTTTCTCATTGTCCTGGAAAAGTTGCACAGATATTATATGGACATAGACTTATTTGTGGCAGAGCAGATACTGACAGGTTAATTCCGTGGTTAACAAACACTCAGTTGCTGGCACTTCTGAAATATTTATGCTGGAAGTTTACATTTTAATGAATACAGTTACTATGCTCCTAATAGTTTTTTTCACAGAATGCACACAAATAATATAGATTCCCTACAGCTGCCAACACTGAAACAGTGAAGGTTTTATACAAAACTGAAAGGCTATTCATATAACCTACTTATATGGCAGACAAAAATATGAGAACTACTAAGTTAGATTTTGGAAGTTTTAGGACAAAGTAACATTTATTTGTATGTATTCTTGCCTCTGATTGAACCAAAATGAAACAAACTTTGGTAAGAATGTATTTGAACTAAGAGTTTACAATATAATGATTACAGAGGTAACCTGATTTTTACTTTTATTTATTACGAGTTACATTTGGAATCTGTCTTCCACTTCAAAGACTCAGAAAGCAAATATAGGTTTTAACATTTCACCACTCATTCTCACGTATGTTTCTAATTCTCTTGAGGTGTCTTAAAAAGCAAATCAAAATTTCTCAAAAAGGAGTCCATTTATTTGCACAGTGGCAAAATATAATCCATGTTATATTCCCCAAATGTCCCAATCTATACAACTTAAATATTAACCATGGTGTCTTTTACCTAAGCAGTATGTTAATTGCATGATTCTAGGGATTAGCTTTTGGAACATTGTAACACTTTTGAACCAAACATCATTTTGCATGTATGAAGGTATGCATGTACAGTTCCTTTGAACTGTGCCAGATTTCTTTCTTTGACACTGCACTGTCTGAAAAAAAAACTTTCATTTTGATGTTGTACTTTATTAACTTTTTCCCTATTTACTCTATTTATTTACTCTAGCAAGTACCATTTTGCATTCAGGTGATTTGGAGTTCAGATGCATTCTAAAGGGATCTTGAAATTAGACCCTTTATCGGAATACACTTTTGCAACAGATTTCACAAAATGTTCCTTTGTTTTAAAGCATGTTGTAACTGCTGTTGAGAATAAAAAGCATTAGGGAAGGGGCAGAAAGGGAAAAAGAAGAGAATTAAAATGAACAGAACACATAAGTTCATTTCTACAGGTTTCTGTAATTCCAATTTAAGTGAACAAAAAAATACGTCCTAAAATTAGAGAAGTTCATATAGGACAGTTTGGATTGGAAGGTCAGGGACACCTTTCACTGTATCAGGTTGCTTAAAGCCCCATCCAGCCTGTCCTTGAACACTCCCATGGATGGGACATCCACAACTTCTCTGGAAAACCTGTTCCAGTGCCTCACCACTCTCATAGCAAAGAGTTTCTTCCTAATATCTAATCTGAACTTGGCATCTTTCAGTTTGAAGACATTCCGCCATGTCCTATCACTGCTCGCCATTGTAAGTTGCACTTCCAAATGGAAAGAACTAGCCTGTGCCATCAATATAAATAATCTCAGCTTTTCCCAGCTCCCAGAATCCCTAACCTCTGCCAACTGCCGCTACTACAGCAGAGCCCCCAGAGCACCCCTCAGTTTCGGTTCAGTCACCATCACGACTTGCTGCCCATCACCTCGCACTTACCTAGGATTTTGCTGATGTTGGAGTTGTGCATGTCGGGGAAGGCCTGGAGGATTTTCCGGCGCTCATCCTTGGCCCAGACCATGAAGGCGTTCATCGGCCGCTTGATGTGGGGCTCGCTGCTGGCGCGGCCCCGCGAGTCCCGGTACACCCGGGCTTCAGCCACCGTGGCACCTCCTGTTGGCCAACAATAATACTGCTGTAGTTTAGCGGCAGAGCCATTCACTGCTTTACTCCCTGTAACGTCAGGGCAGGAAGAAACAAGATGAATGCAAAACATTATTATGTGGATTATGCAAGTGCTTTCAGTGCTCTGGTTATTTTAGCCCCTTTCGCTCTCTCCCTCTTTGCTGCCAGATTTATGTGAGAGAGAGGCAGAGAAAGACAGGTCAAACAGTGGTTTCAGTGTAAGGGATCAGGCTTGCCCATTTGAGATGACCCAGCGTCAGAGCGAGGAATTAAATCATACTGGTATTTCTCCAGTTAAGGTATGGAGACTTGATAAAGACTTTAACATAAGGTACATGCTCTGAATGCTCAACAAAACTCACATAAAAGTTATACTTGAGAGTCTCAACTGAAGCAGACCTGTTCACACAAGCCATTTGCAATGACTTTGCTGCTTCAGCATTGAAGTACATGCCAAACGTTTCATAAACTAAATTATATAGAACACCAGGTACGTGCTGCTAGTTTTATGGATCTGATTATATTTAGAGCTGAGCATTTTAAAGTTGCATCTGCCTTGGTTGAATTTCAGATGTGCTTTGGAGCGTTCGATCACATATATGTAATAAAACTCTCTGCCTCCAACAACAGGTACATGCACAGCACCCTGGAGTTTCCAGAGTGGAAGACAAGCACTCCAGCTCCAAGTCTGCTGTGCCTTTATGTACCTCAGGGTCCTGTCTTTATTTGCCATCAATTCAGCTTGTACATGCCAACCTTAACTTTTTTCTGAATGCCTCCAGACCTGTTTCTTGACCACAAACAGCAAAGCTTCACGGGGGTTTAGAGTTCACAGAGCTGAATGTGAAGTGTAGAACTACTTATAACAGAAGAAACAGATAACCAAGGCATGCTTTTACTGGAAAAAAACTTGTGCAATTGTGATGATAACATATGTTTTTAGAGTTATACCTTAGCTATAAAAAAAGGCAAAAAGTGTTTACGATGAGAGGGTGACAGACTTAGTGTTAGACCTCATCAAACTGTTCATATAATCCAATACCTTCAAAAAGCAAGATACTATACAAGAAATTAGCACAGCACTAGGCCTCCTTTTTTTGTACACTATTACAGCTCCCAACACAAATTTATCTGCCAAATAATATAAGATTAATATTTTACACTAAGTAAAACACTGCAGTTTTATTGATTCTAGTGACTGACTCACAAGTTTTTAGTTGTGCAAAAATTAAATTTTTAATTCAGAGTAGAAACATTATATATATATGTACGCCTTTTTAAAAATTCTATATAGGAAACCCATCTACATGAAAAAAGGGCCTAAATTAGAGGATGCATAACTAATACACTACCTGTTTGCCACCAGGTCCACAGTACATTAATTTCATTTAAAACGCACTGACCATACAGGATAAATTGATTTTGTTTTATATGGTGTTGACAGTCATGTTTATTGTGCAGTGAAATGTAGTGTAGTTTCAAGCTGACTATATCCATTAACACAGGGCAATATGCTGACTACTGGGCCAGATGAAGACATACATTACCCTGAGAGCAAAACACTCATTCGCATACAGCAGTGTCTTCTCCTGAGGATCACCATGGTAATTTATGATGCCTCTGATGCCATTACTTTACAACTGACACCAATTTGGCAATTTGTATACTAAAATGCATGCACATAAAAGAAGACAGGTTTGTGGCAAATGTGAGATGCAAAACTATTTTAATACTACTCTAAGTTAAGTGCCATGCTACAGGTGTTCTGCTTTTACAGGAGGCTGCAGTCAGCTTTTTATTGAAAAAGCGAGAAGTTTCGTTGAGCAACCTGCAAGTAGGACCAAATTAAGGGTCTGACTGGTTGATGAGTTGTTGTCAGAAGGCTTGGACCACAGGCATATCAAAGATACCATCTTTTGAGAGAGGATATATAATTGTGAAACCTCAGTAAGTTACAAACAGAGTAAGTCAACACTGAAATATATATTGAGACAATATGAGTTGCATAATTTGAGCTATATAATTTGAGAAATGACAAATACGTTATGTAATGGTTGTTCTATCTTTTAAAATAATGCTATAAAAATGTGTTACTAGTATGTGGGCAATTTAGAAATTGGTGACAAAAAAAAAATAAATTATTACTAATGGAAAAGTTGTCATTTGTTATTCAGCTACTCTGCTCACAGCAAAGGAAAGAAGACATATTTGAATCCATATGATGTTTCTCCATCTTTTACTTTCCCAAAGGTGCCTATTCATTATAGCTAAGGAGGAGTTTGTCTTTAGCCCTTTGTAACACAATTTTGGCCTGACTTTTAATTCCTAATGCAGGCAAACAGTAGTTTTACTGGGATAAAGATATAATTTAGATAGAATGAAAACAAATAAACAAAAACATGGTGGGGAGGGAGAAAAAAAACCACCATAAATTATCTATTTTCAGAGAAAGGTTTTGTTGGAAAACAATTCATAGTTGGAGTGATAAGTTACAACCACCCTAAAAAGGTCAAGCAACTCTGGCTGCACCTGCTTTAAGTCCATAGCTGAAGAAACTGAGAAAGCAGCCAAAGAGTTGATGTTCTTTGTGCTTGATCACTGTGAGAATATTTGACAGTTGACCTATAAGCAATCATAAAAGCATTAGGAAAATTAATTTCTGCAAATAACTAAAGTAATATAATCTCCAATCTGGCTTCTAATGGTCTCAAAACTACAGAATTATATTCAGCATATAAAGCATTACAATAAAATAGTTCATGTAGGGGAGCCAGAAAGTCTCAGAACCTTTTTAGCTTAGAAATGAGATGCTGGTGATACATACACTCAGTGAGGTCTTACGAGTTGAAACACCTAAGAACAAACTTTCAAACTGGTTGTTCTTAGGTGCTTCATCCCGTCAATCAGATATTTTGACAGTATTGTGCCATAAATAAACAATTTCAACAGATTTAACAAAGTATGGGGGGTTTCCCCATATATAATATAGTTAGTACTGACAGAGTCTGAAAGAGACCCCTGAAATTTTAAAAGTAAATATATATATATATATATATAACTGCAAAGAAGTAGGTGTCTTTCTGAAAATATTTTCAGGAAAGTCCAATAAATAATAAACAAAAAAAAAGAGATAAAATGGAAAAGTACTACCAGTGAAGGTCAAGATGAGAGGAGGAAGTTGGTAATTGTCTCTCTATTGCTCTATCTGCTAGTTACTCTTCATAGTGCAATCACAGGGGGAGGGATTTCCAGATTTAGGAGTTTAGTCAGAATTTATAATTATTGCAAAAGCAGTAGAGGTTGGCTGCCCTAGTGGCTTAGTTGGCAAAGAAGTCTATACTTTGGCTTAAGATGGGGGCTGTTCTCAAAGTGACACTTTTAGCTTCTGAATGTGTGTGGTGCCTCACTTCCTACATCCTTTGCATTTGCTCAACTTGTCATGACTTCAATGATTTACAGCTAAAGGCAGATTAAAGGAGAATAATCACTTGTTGTGGATGCTGAATTCCAAACTACTCTCTAGGGGCAATACTGCGAATGCCAGAGAATAAATCTAAAAATGTTACAAATTCATGAAAATAATTTCAAAAAAATATTTTTGTTCCTAAAGAGACTGCTCTCTAATCAGATAACATTAGAAACATAAAAGAATCTGATTAACATGAAAGATATATATTTTCATGTGAAGTAAATGTTAAACATCCAATAACAATTGTTACATTGCTTATTTGTTTATTCTTGCTATTATCTGAGTTTCTTACATTTAATAATGAAAAGAATTTTAGGACAGGCATCTTCTCTTATCATATTTCCTGAAATCTTGGCCAAATTAGGGTTAATCCTACAGCCTTTAACAAGATGTGGTTCTACCTTCCATTTTAAACATCATCTACAACAAAACCTTCGACTGGGCTTCTACAAGCTACCAGAACACAAACAATAATAAACATGATAGAATGGAGAAAAAAAAAAAGGGTGAGAAAAAAAGATGAGGAAGAAAAGAGAAAAGCAGTGACAGCAAAAAGAGATTTTTATCAGTCACTCTGTTATCCCTTAATTACTCTTCACTCTATGGCCATTGATTCATGGTTTGAAGTGATACGTTTCTTTTGACTCCCCTCAGATAATGAATCTGCCTATCTACAGAGTATACTGCAGACCATCTCCCATGGACTTATACCAAGATAGGACACATAGAAATAAAGACAATCTTTCTAGGTTCCTAGTGTATAAATGACTGTTTAGTAGTGAAGCTCCTATCATCAGTTATTCATTAAGCTGAAGTGACATATTTGTCTACTTTGGAAAAGACTGATGTGACTTCCAAAATATCTGTCCCTGTCTGTGGTAATACAACTAGCACTGCTAGCAACTTGCATTCCAGAGATCAGAACCTAATAAACATGCAAAGAGGAATCACTCTCTTATTGCATGAGATGGGTTACTCATAAACATGGAAATGCCATAAAAACAGGGAGCATGAAAAACCAGCTCGGCAGTCCCCTGTCCTGTTCTTAACCTGTGCACAGACAGATGCAGCCTCTGTGAAAAATACAGCAATATTTAAAAGTTCAATGTTCAATTTCAGAGAAAGTTGCAAAAATTACTACTCATAATGCTTCACTGTAATCAGACGTAGCAGTTTTAGTGTAACATTTACCTGCTTTGCCCCTTGCCTGCCTCTTACTTCTTCATCCCCAGCCACATTCAGACTTTCTCATTCTTTATTATCAGCAAGAGAGGCAATATAAATGGGTATCCCATGAACTGTTGTAAGTAATGTCTTGTTATCACTGGCAAAATACCCACTTGGAAACATGACTGGGTTTGGGACATGGATGCCTGTGGTCACACGGTGACACAAATGTTCTGTTTGTCAAATTCCTTTTATTCCAAATGCTAAGCAAATATTATTCAGCTAAATTTGAGCACCGACATTTCTTACAGGCTGCATGTCAGTGAATGAAAGGGGAGAAAAAGTGAGAAAGCCACGAGTGATTCATGAAATACTAGAGTATTTACATGGCCACTAAAATTTTCACCTGCAA